GCTAAAACAGTAATTGTAATTTAGCCACCACAAAAGTCAAAGGCGTAGACGATTATTTCATTTATTTCTGGATGTTGATGTATTAAGAATGATTAGAGTTTTGGAAATTAGATTACCTAAGCTTGGTTTTTTTTTTTAAGATCCGAAGTATAGAATTCCTATAATGAACAAACATTGGCAAAAACAAAATTAGCCAAAAACTTATAGTACAATTGTGTTGCTTTCTTTTTGTGGAAACTATAAAAACATGAGTAGCATATTCACATGCAACCTTAACAACTCATTAATTATAGGTCCATCTGAAAATTCAACCAAAAAACGTCGATCATAAATAGTTATATACGGTCTATTAAAAGAGTTTAGGAATAAAACTTTCAAAAAAATGTTCTTATTGTTGAGTCATTTCCAATTCTCCTTATATAATAAACATACTGTATTTGTAGATAGCAATAATATAAACACACCACATTTCTTAAATACGACTTTGGTTTCGTTGGTTACCTTATATTGCAATAATATAAGTGTGCCGTTTTATAGATTTCAATCACAAAACGGTATTAAAACCGTTACACTCAATTTATTTTTCTATTACTTTCTCAGTTTCTCTTTTGAATATCTCTTACAAGTTTAATTATTAGGTAACCGTTTGCAGTTCTTTCAAACTGCTTTAGGTAACTAATCGGATTTGTAATTTTGTATAAACCAATACTTTATTTATATAAAAAATGATAATGAAGAAAATTAAACAATCGGAATCTCCTCCCTCAGGTTAATCCCATGGCCCAATCAAGTATCAAAAAGACCAAAAAAGAAAAAACACCAACAAAAGAGGAAGAAAATACGAAATGTATTAGAGAAAACATAGAAAGCTTCGTAAACAAATCATAACAAGAAAAAAAAAAGCAAATGTGAGAGAGATAGATAATGAATACTCAAACGACTCTCTTAAGCCAAAACGACGGCGTACAAAGCTCCGGCGATGACCGAACTCACAATGAAAGCTTTGTTAGTCAATGCTGAGTCAGCTTTTGGTGCATCAGCTTCAGCA